CACCACTGAATGGGTCTGAACAGGATACCAAAGAACTCAGAAACGAGCCCAGAGGAGTTCCCTCTACCTTCAGTTGTAGCTCCAGGGAGCCTGATTGAGCCATGTACTTCCTTTGCTGCGTGTGGCTCCTGGAGTCCCGTATTTTCTTCTCCAAGCTGGCATAATTGATAAGAGTTTGGGAGTATTTTACTAAAGCTGCAGTATCATCATCCTTCTCTGCAGTAATTCAGGGAGCTGGAGGTACAGGAGGGACAGAATCAACCAGGAGGTGGGGAAGTATTGCCCAAGCTTTCTCTGTCCCTCAACTACTGGGTTCACTCACCATGTTGTGCAATTCACATTGCATCTTGGCGTCCCTTGGAGTTGTGCAAGATGGCAGTATTGGGCCAGGTTGCTGATAATTGGAAGTTTCTTGTACTCATACTCATATTTTGCCAAAGTTCTTGTTTGCCTGACTACCTGCATTCCTAGTACAGTGTGCAAATGCCACAAGTAGATTTTTATGAAAAACAAAGGAAGTTATAAAAATATAATGTTTAAGCTTTTGGGTCTAAAATTAAAATTACCTGTCGGGAAAATAAAATCGTTGAATGTTTAATTTAGCTTGATGCTGCCCAGCTAGAAGTGTGATTGGTTGGCTGTTTGGATACTTGTAACCGATGACTGCATTCTCTTACTGTTCCATACTAGCTCTAAGAGGACAGCGGAACTTAACCCTTTAGGTCCAAAGATAAAGGTAAAATAGGTAGATTTTATTTCAGCATTGCCCAAAACTGAGTTTGTTGTTTAATGTTTTAAAGACAGGTTATGTCTTGTTGGGAATTGATGTGGGAAGTGTAAATGGATGAATGGGTCGCACTTGTTGTGAGTTGCCTGGAGTCTGTATCACAAGATATCTTAGTTACCTAGTACTGCTGTAACAAAATATACCACAAGAGGGTGGCTTTGAAGAATAGGAATTGGTTGTCTCACAAATGTGGAGGCTAGAAGTCCAAATTAGAGCATCAGCTCTAAGGGAGCTTTTCCTTGTCATTAGCCCTATGAGTTCCTTGGCATTCCTTGGCATTCTTCGGTGTTGCTTGGCATCTCTCTTCCCCCATGTGTGTGTCTCTGTGCCCATTCTGCTCTTTTTATAACTCAGAAGATACTAGATTTAGGACTCACCCTACTCTGGTATGACCTCATAAACATAACAAAAGAAAAACCCGATTGCCAAATAGGGTCAGATTCACAAGTGTAGGGGCCAGGACTTTAATACATGCTTTTGGGGGACACAATTCAATCCACACCATAAGACATTCATTTTGTGTGTGTATGTCTGTCTTTCTTTGTACTCCAAACACATCTCTGACTGTTTTCCCTTAATTCATTTTTTCCATTATGTGTTGTTGTTTTGAATCCAAATTAGACTAATAATCTTACATTCAAGGAGAAAAAATGGTTTTTTGTCTTTTTTTTAATCATGAAAAAACTTCATAGGACAAAACAGAAATGGTTCTACCCTCAACCATGCTAGACTCAAACCTTGATTTCTGATTGGTTAGATGATTCCCCTGGATTCAGATGCAGAGCCTGTGACTGACAAGTGTGTATATATCCAAGGACATAGCATAGTTCTTGGGCGGAAAATCTGAGTTACAGCTCAAGTTCTAAGGCCTCATTGTCCTGAGGAATGTCTTTGGCTGTATCAGGGATCTATTTATGAATCTCCTCCTTATTTTGTCCGTCTTGTGATTGTAGTATGTGCTTGTGTATGCTGGGTTTTGTGTCTTTGCAAAAAGAAAGCATGAATTCCAATTGCAAATCAGCAATTGTGTCTTGAATTATTTTGTTTTGATTGAAATACAAAATGAATGTTATTTAAGGTTTATCTTTAAAGTCAGTAGCCCTAAGGATTCAATTCTTGAATCTCAGTAACTTGTGCAGTCTAAATTTTGGCATCTAATCTACTCATAAGTTTAAATAAATTGATCAATTGAAAAATGTTCAGGGTGAATTCTTATCTGAGCATTGCTTCCTTTGGTAGTCTTCCTCACACCCATAGAAAGGCTGAGTATGTAGGAGGTACTCCCTTCTTTTTAGTGAATAATGTTCTGGTTTGTAGCTTTGCGATCTGCTTTTTCACAAGGTATTAGTATTTATTATTAGTGTTTTATAAACCCACGACCACATGTGTGAGTTGTTTGCTATTTAAATTGCTAGAAACTTCTTCAGATATATAAAACAGAAGCAATATATTGAAAGTATAGTCTAGATGATATGTAACAATATTTGATCTTAGTTTATTTTTTTCCAAAAAATATTCTAAAGGAGTCCTGGTTGCGCAGTGGTTAAGCACTCAGCTGCTAACTAAAAGGTCAGGAATTCGAACCCACCAGCTGCTCCACAGGAGAAAAAACCTGGTGATCTGCTCCCATAAAGATTTCAGCCTAGGAAACCCTAATGGAGCAGTACTACTCTGTCCGATAGGATTGCTGAGTTGGAATTGACTGATGGCAACCAGTTTAGTTTGGGGTTTAAGGTATTCTAATGAATGACAGTAATAATTACTTTTTCCCATAGACTTAACAGTACAGGTAACATATTAAATAATTATAGTGACATTGATACAGATATTCAGTATCATGTATTTTATTCATCTGGGTCCTCTAAGAAGCAGATGCCAAGATGGGAATAGAAATGTAAGGGATTTATTGAGGGAATGCCCACAGGGAAAATGGGGCAGGAACTGGATTCCTGCCAATTGGTGGGTTCGAACCACCAACTTTTAGGTTAGCAGCCAAGCCCTTGAACATTGCACCATCAAGTCTCCTTTCCCCTTCCCTTAGCCTCATGCATAATGTTAGGGATCTTATTTCAAATGATGGTCTTTGACCATTGGACTGTACAAGTAAGGTATAAAGTTGGGCATAAGTGTTAAAATTACAAAGGGTATTTGTTGGTACTTTCTTTAAAATAGTTTTATTTTATTTTTATAACTTGAAATATTCCGTGCTTAGGGTCACTATGAGTCGGAATCGACTGACTTGACAGCAATGGGTTTTATATATATATATTTTTTTTTCTTCTTTTTTTAAAGAGCTGGAAAATGGGAGTTAGGATGAGAAGAATTAAGAGGAAAGTGGGCTCATAGAGAAGTGAATAAGTGCTGTTGACACAGGTCAGACTTAGCCTAAAGCCCATTTGTGTTCAATCTCATCTTCCCATACACCTGGGCCTGGCCTGAGCACAGGGAACAGGAGCTGTGGTCATCCTAGGGACACTGCCTTGGACATGGATTAAAACCTCAGCCTTTATATAAATAAGCCATCAGTCCATAGGGGTCAGAGACAGAGTTCACAGGGGTCAATACTTGTGTATACATTTTTGTGTTGACACATATTTTTATTTCTCATGAGTATATACCTAAGAGTGGAATTGCTGGGTCATATGGTGACTATGTTTAAGCTTTTGAGAACAGCCAGACCTTTCCACAGCAGCTGCACCATTTCACATTCCTATCAGCAGTGTATTAGGGTTCCAGTTCTCCACATCCTTGCCAGTAATTGTTGTTATCTTTCTTTTTTATCATAGCCATTCTAGTGGGTGGGAAGTCCTATTTCATTGTGGGTTTGATATGCATTTCCCTGATGGCTAATGACTTTGAGCATCTTTTTATGTGCTTATTGGCTGTTTGTATATCTTTGGAGGAAATGTCTATTCAAGTCCTTTGACTATTTTTTAATTGGGTTATTTGTGTTTTTTTTGAGCCTTAGTGGCACAGTGGTTAAAGAGCTTGGCTACTAACCAAAAGGTCAGCAGTTCGAATCCATCAGCCGCTCCACAGGAGAAAGATTTGACAGTCTGCTTCCATAAAGATTTACAGCCTTGGAAACCCTATGGGGCAATTCTACTCTGTCCTACAAGGTCACTATGAGTCGGAATCAACTCAAGGGCAGTGGGTTTTTTTGCGGGGGTTGTAGGCGTTCTTTATATATTCTAGATACAAGTCCCTTATCAGATAGATGATTTGCAAATAGTTTCTCCCATTCTGTAAATTATCTTTTCACATTCTTGATGGTATATGTCCTTTGAAGGACAGAAGGGTTTAATTTTGATGATGTGCAGCTTACCTATTTTTTTCTTTTATTGATTGTGCATTGGGTATCATATCTAAGAAACCATTGCCTTATCTAAAGTCATGAATATTTACATCGGTGCTTTCTTCTAACAGTTTTACAGTTTTAGCTGTTACATTTTGATCTTTGATTTATTTGAGTTAATTTTTGTTTTCTCTTCATATGGCTATCCAGTTCTCCCAGCACCATTTGTTGAAAAGACTAGTCCTTCCTCATTGAATTGTCTTGGCACCTCTGTTAAAATGGGTGCCACTTTGAAGGCAAGTTTTTATTATTTGATGGTTTTTTTCAAATTAAGGTTGGTGTAATTTTTTTGTCACTAAATGGTTTACTTACATGCAGACAGCTGCATTTTACAAATATATCTTTTACTCCATGTGCCTGAAAGGATTATTTTTAATAGAACAATGCATGTAAGGATAAAGAAGCCAAGATAGATACCTGTTTAAGCATAATGGGGTAGTAGATTAGGTATCCTCCAAACCAGTGCTTCTCAGACTTTCATGTTCATTCGAATCCCTTGAAGATAGTATTAAAATGCAGATTCTGGTTTTCTAGGTCTGACATGGGATCTGAGATTCTGCATTTCTAACAAGCTCCCTGATCCTCCTGGTCCTGGGATCACACTTTGAGTAACAAAGTTCAAGAGCAACTTTCTAGTGTAATTTTATTATGTAATCTTGTTACATCTGCTTGCTTAAAGTGATTTGGGAAAGAAGTAAAAGCTGCTGCTTATTTTGAATTCATTGTTTTTACATTTTTAAAAGTAATATTCAAGATGAAAAACCACTATACAGAATATAATAAATATAATAAATATAATAAAAGTTTCTTCTAGTGGCATTTTTTGCCAGCTTTGATTATTTTCTGTCTTCCTTCTAGGCCTCTGATGATTGTCACTCAGAAGATCACAGCCTTGGCCTTCCAAATCCATGATGGTGAGACAGTGACCCTCCTTTTGATTCTAAGAGTGAGCCTGCCATTCAGAGCTCTTCTTTCTATACTGTATACACAGGCCAGTTTTTAGATCTTGGCTTTTATCTTGTTCAATTTCCAGGCCTCTTTAATCATATCCTTTTTTTAAAATTATTATTATTATTAGTTAGATTTTTTTGTGATTAATGAGCCAATATTAACATATTATTATTAACTAAATCCATAGTTTCCATTTAGGAGTCCCTTGGTGGCATAAATGGTTAATGTGCTCTCCTGCTAACTGAAAGGTTGACGGTTCAAGTCCACCCAGAGGCGCCTTGGAATTTCCAAGTCCTGGTGATCTACTTCTGAAAAATCAGCCATACGAAAACCCTATGAAGCACAGTTCTACTCTGACACGCATGGGGTCACCATGAGTTGGAGTCAGCTCCATGGCAACTGGTGATAGTTGCCATTAGGGTTTACTCTTTGTGTTGTATAGTCCTGGGGGTTTTGACAAATGCATAATGTCATGTGTCCACCATTACAGTATCATACAGAATAGTTTCACTGCTGTAAAAATGCCCTGTGTTCCATCTATTCATTCTTCTCCATTGCTCCTGACTCCCAGGCAACCACCGATCTTTTTATTGTGTCTACAGGTTTGTGTTTTCCAGAAATAATAACCTTTTACTCTCCCAGCTATTTCAGTATTAATCCCTGCTGAATATCCAGTCTAAATTTGCTGAAATATTTGCATTGAGAACAGTGGGCTTTCTCTTTACCTTTATAACATATAAAATTTAAGTTTTTTTTGTACTGCTTTCCTCATTTCCAAATCTGTTAAGAAGAAATGGCATCCTTTCCACTTTGGTTTAGTCTCTGAGAAGGTTACGAGGTAATAAAAAATTAGGCAGCATTCATTGGTGTCAGTTGTTAATCATTTTTAATGCTAGGTTTTTGTTTCTTTCTTTTTGGCTTGAAAAATTATCTGTTGAGATTAGCTTGACTCTATAAAAAGCTGGGAGTCCCTGGGTAGTGCAGATGTTTAATTTGCCCAGCTGCAGACCAAAAGGTTGGAGGTTCAAGTCCATCCAGAGGCTCTTCGGAGGAAAGACCTGGCAATCTACTTCTGAATAATCAGCCATTGAAAACCCTATGTTGCACAGTTCTGCTCTGACATATGGGGCTTGCCATGAGTCAGAACTGATGCAACAGCAATTGGTTATAAAAAGCTGAGAGAAGGAGGAATCTTCTGTGTGTATAAAACTGAACATTTTTTTCGGCCTGACTCTTCTGAAAATGGTCAGAAAGTAGAACTTACACTGTTAAAACTAGGTTCCAGGAAAGGAGGACAGCACTTCCAGGTGGGTGGGAGATTTCAGTGTGGGCTTAAGGATGCCAGATACCATTAGTAAAAGTATATTTTATGAATTTGTACTGCTTGCAAATGCTTTGGACCACTGAAAGTTATTCACGTATTGACAGGTTGAGAAGATTTGCAAACTCTGGCAACTAGTTTTCTTGTTTATCCTTAAAGCTTGAGAACCGATTTAATTTCATTTTGATCCTGTGTATCCCTAGTTCTTTAGAGAACTGGATAATTTCATACCGAGGATGGGGTTCTTCCTAGGATGACAGACTGTCCCGGTTTGCCTGGGACTGGGAGGTTTCCCAGGACATGGAACTTTCAATTGGTAAAGTCCTGGGCAAACTGGAAGGAGTTGGTCACCCTGTTTGTACTTGAAAATTCACTTGGTAGTGGTTGTAGACTAACATTAGTAACAAACCAATAGCTGAAATCAATTTAATTTCTGGGATTTGCCAGAGTTGTACTATTTGGTGAGATCTGAAAAAAAAAAAAAAAAGTGATTTTTTTTTTCTTTTTAAAACAGTGCCTCTACATTTTTTCTTTTTTTTTAAATATAGGCTTTTTGCCTTAGTTTCTAATTTAGCATTGTCGGTTTGCTATATTTCATGGAATATTCCTTCCATGCAACAAAATGTTCATTTGCCTTTTTCTTTTTTTGTTTTGTGTGGGAAGAACAAGTGAATTCCAGAAATACTCCACTTTCTTTACGCATGTTTGTGAATTGCCTTCGTGAATTGGTGTCCATAATCAGTCTTAGCTGAATATATAGCTTCAAAGTCAGCTTGTACTGCTGATATATTTTTTTAACATATTTTTAAGCTTTTATTTTGTTGTTTTGTATTGCTTATAACACTTCAGTTTCATTGACTGTAAGTTAACATATGAACTTTATATGAAGCACAGATGTGATTTGGTTGGTAGTTTTTCTGGCATGGATAAATGTTAAATAATAATAATTTTAAAAATCTGATAATTCCTTTGTGGTTTTCCTGCATTCGGGTTTACAGTTCCCCTTTTCTTTGGAAGAGGAAGGTCCCTTGCTCCTTTCCCCCTTACACCCTCACACACGTTCCCAGCTTGTGCCAGATGTCTGTAACCCTGCACAGTCAGGAAGGTATTTAAAGTGGCGCGGACTGCGAAAGGAAGCTTATTTCTTTGAAGTAGAAACGAAAGTAAATACAAAGTAGTAAGGAACTGCTATGCGTAGGAGATGAGGCGGTGTCTCTCCGATCCATCGCACACTGAGTTAAATAGCAGTAACCTCTGAAAGGAGCCCTGGTGTTGCAGAAGTTAAGAGCTCAGCTGCTAACCAAAAGGTCAGCAGTTGGAACCCACCAGCCATTCCGTAGAAGAAAAATGTAACATTCTGCTTCCATAGATTTCAGCCTTGGAAACCATATGAGGCAGTTCTACTCTGTCCTATAGGATTACTAGGAGTCAGAATTGACTCGATGGCAATGGGTTTGGTTTTTTTTTTAAAAAAAGAAGTTCCTGGGTGGCACAAACGGTTAAGTGCTTGAGTATTAACTGAAAGGTCGGTGCTTTGAACCCACCCAGAGGCATCTGGGAAGAAAGGTGATCTACTTCTGATAGATCACAGCCATTGAAAACCCTATGGAGCAGTTCTACTCTGAAACACATAGGGTCACAATGAGTTGGAATTGACTCCACGGCAACTGGTTTTTTTTTTTTAATCTCTGAAAAGGACATTGTGTTTGGTAAAGTGGAAGGCCAGTGAAGGAGGGAAACCCTCAAAGGTATGGATTAACAAAATAGCTGCAACAGTGGACTTAAACATACTTAATGAACTGAGCAGTGTTTCATTCTGTTATACATAAGGTAGCCATGAGTTGGAGCTGACTTGACAGCAGCTAGCAAAAACAACAGTCTCTGAATTCTCCTTTTTTCATATGAATCTATAGAGAATTTCTTCGTAATTTACATACTTATGTGTCCTTTGATCCAGGACTTTTTTTTTTTTTTTAATGGAAAAGAGGGACTCCTTAATCATTTATGAAAACAAAATAAATTACTTTTTCAAATGAGTTTGAGCAGACTCTTTTAGGATCGTTATCTACCTGACTTCGAACATCTTATTTCTAATTCTTTTCTTTTTCATAGGGTTGGGCAAAAGACCTGAAGACCTCTCTGCTGAGCAACATAGACTTGCTGTAAAGTAAGTTTAACAATATATTTTTGAGATCTTTCCATATCAGTATCTAGAGGTGTTTCTTGTTTTTTAACATCTGCATATTAATTCCATTATATAGATGAAATATTGTCATGTTTTCATTTAACGAATCTGCTGTTGATAGACACTTAGGTTGTCTACCAGTCTTTATTTTTTACTAACAGTAAGCAATGAATACCCGTGTACATAGGTCATTTTAAATGTGTTTAGGTATAGCTATAGGATAGAGTCCTAGAAGTGGGATTGCTAGGTTGCAGAGTAAATAGGTCTATAATTTTATTAGTGCTGAAAGATTCTCCTTCACTGGGGTTGTTATGGATCCCTGGTGGCGTAGCGGTTAAGAGTTCGACTGCTAACCAAAAGCCATGAGCCGCTCCTTGGAAACCCTATGGGGCAGTTCTGCTCTGTCCTGTAGGGTCACTATGAGCCAGAATCGACTTCGTGGTAATGGGTTTGGTTTTTGGTTTTCGTTTGGGGTTGTTAGTCTGTTTCAGAAGCTTTTATTAGGCTCTCAAATTTAAATTTGAGGCGTGTCTGGGGTTCGTTAAGAAACAGTTATCTATACACATCAGTGTGTGATTAAATGCCAGACTGAAGAAAGTAGGAAGTAGGGCTGGAGAGATAAATGAGGGCTTGAAAATAGAAGGAAAACTGAAAGGTGGGCTTTGGCCAGCCAGCACTGATGTGGAGTAGAAAGGGTCAGTGTTGGAGAGAAAGGGAGGCTGTCTAGAGTAGGAGGATAACATTTATGTGAGAGTCAAATGGCACGTGAGGTAGCACACTGGGGAGAATGGTGGAGGGTTCCTGCTGGAGGGCTGAAAAAGGTAACTAGGTAAGTAAGGGAGGGTCCCCGGCTATAGAGGAGACTGAGTGCTTCATTAAGAAATTGGTATTTGGGAATGAAAGCAATGGAAGATTCTAATGAATAAAGTTCTTTGCTACACATCATGGGGTTATAGGAGTACCTAGGTGGTACAAACAGGTAAGCTCAGCTGCTAACCGAAAGGTTGGTGGTTCAAGTCTACCCAGAGGCATCCTGGAAGAAAGGCCTGGTGATCTACTGAAAAATCCACCATTGAAAACCCTATGGAGCACAGTTCTACAGTTCTACTCTGGCACACATGGAGTTGCCATGTCAACTCGGCAACTTTTTATTTTTTTTAACTTTCATGACTGAAGTAAATTTTAAAAAAAATTTTTTGTTGATAATTTTTTTTTCATTAACGGAATGCATACTGAATCGTTGAGTGTGTCTGAATTGAGTGTGTCCCTCTGGACTCTGGAGGTAGGTTTGGTGGGACACATATGTCCCTCTGAACTTTGGGGTGAATGCATATATCTCTCTGGACTCTCATGGGTTAAGATTGGTGGTATGTGTATATCCTGTTGGACTCTGGGATAGACATATCCCTGTAGACTTATATGCTGGTTGGTGGGATACATATGCCCCTACAGGATGCATCAGAATGCTCCGCCTCATACAATACCCTGTAAAAACAGTAATTTGTAGTACGCGCCCGTTTCTCCCACTTCAAATAGTTGTGCAGTCCCCTCCTGATGTTTGCAAGTACTGCTAGTGGGAAAGTAGCTTCTTGATAAACCCAAGAGGCAGAAAATTTAGATGGAACATGTATGTCCCACCAGTCACAAAAGGGCTTATAAATGCATATAGGGCATCATTTCAGTGACAGATTAAAATGGTGTTTTACAAGCTTTGCCCCACAATTCTGTCCTGCTAGAAGAACAAACCTCTTAAAATGCCATTAAACACTATGCGGAACTGTTCTCTACACGATCCTTTTTTCTGCCACTCTTCCAGCCTGTTGTTCAGGACCTCCTGCCTGGATGCCAAACCAGACAAGAGATGGTTTCAGTGGTAGTTTTGTGTGACCTCTTCTAGTGGAAGCTAGTTTCACCCATCATTTATTTTTGTATTTATTTTGGCCATCTGGAGAAAATTTTCCCATTCCAAAGCATTTTGATCAACTAATATTAGGTTCCCACCCTGCCTTGTTGACTACTCTCAGTTTCTCTCCTAGACAGATAAGGTGGGTGAGGAGAGGTGGGTGGCATTTCCTAGCCAGAGTTGCCTTTTCTGTAGACCCTGCCCTCAGTGTTTTCAGGTGTGGTCTGCCAGCACAGGCCTCCAAGGTGGTAGGCTCCTTCTCTGGACCACCCACCTCATTAATTGTTCCTTTCAACATAGTTTCTCGACACAGATTTTAACCCTTTGGTGACCCAGTTATTTTCTGCTTTGAATTTTTTGTTGATACTGTGTGTTTTCATTAATTGAATGTGTTTGAATTTTTGGTAGGTAGTATGGATTTTTTTTCCTTGTCCCTTCCCACAAGCCTACCCTGACAGTTTAGGGGTATATACAAAGTACCACTAATTATACCCCAGAGTACCCACTGGGGTCTACTGGTACATATGTGTGACAAATAAAAATTTTAAAATTTCTATTTTTCCTACCAAAAATTCTGATGTCTCATACACTAACCTTTAAAAACAGTAATTTGCAGCACGCACCCATTTCTTCAAACAGTCATAAAGGCCCCTGCCTTGCGGCAGCACACACTATCAATGTGGCAGCAACTTCCCAATAAACCCCAAACCTAAAACCAAACCAAACCTGTTGCCATCAAGTCGATTCCGACTCATAGCGACCCTATAGGACAGAGTAGAACAGCCCCATAGTGTTCCCAAGGAGCGGCTGTTGGATTCGAACTGCCGACCTTTTGGTTAGCAGCGAAGCTCTTAACCGCTGTGCCACCAGGCTGAAAAAGTTCATGGTTGCTATATGTACTCTGGGCATGAAAGGGTTATATAAGTAGAGCTAGGAAAGGTCATGTCGCATATAATAATCCACAAAGACAACATCAGTGTCTTAGTTATCTAGTGCTGCTGTAACAGAAATACCACAACTGGGTGGCTTTAAGAAAACAGAAATTTATTTTCTCACAGTTTAGAAGGCTAGAAGTCTGAATTCAGGGTGCTGGCTCTAGGGGAAGGCTTTCATTCTCTTTTAGCTCTGGGGGAAGGTCTTTGTCTCTTTTCATCTTCTGTTATTTGGCTCCTTGGTGATCTTCTTGTGGCATGGCATCTATCTTCCCCCATCTCTGCAAACTTGCTTAATCTGCTCTTTTATATCTCAGAAGAGACTGATTTAAGACACAGCCTCCACTAATACTGCCTCATTAACATAGCAAAGAAACACCATTCCTAAATGGAATTATAACCACAGGTATAAAAGCTCATTGCCATCAAGTTGATTCCAACTCATAGTTACCCTGTAGAACAGAGAACTGCCCCATAGGGTTTCCATGACTGTAATCTTTACAGAAGCAGACTGCCACATCTTTCTCCCTCGAAGTGGCTGGTGGTTTCCAACCCCCAACCTTTTGGTTATCAGCCAAGCGCTTAACCACTGCACCATCAGGGCATCTACCACAAGTATAGGGGTTAGAATTTCTAATGCATATTTTTGAAGGGCACAATCCAATCCATAACAACCAGTGTTTACAGTTTGTTTATTTGCAAATACTGAAATCAAAGAAGAGTTTTCAACTTTTTTATTTTGTTTATTTCCACAGAGTGAAACCCTCTTTTTTGGAATACTTAAGCTACCTTCTCAATTTCATGAGTGTCATAGCTGGCCCTTGCAACAATTTCAAGGACTACGTAGCCTTCATTGAGGGGAGACATATGCACATGAAGTTGTTGGAAGTGAACTGGAAGCAAAGAGGGTTCCACAGCCTGCCACGTCCTTCTCCCACTGTAAGCTTTTCATGCCAAGTATCTACCCAGAGGTCTAGAGAATATGGTTTTGCTGCCAGGGTTGATTCTCACTAATAATTGTTTTAGATAAAAAGCCAAACAGTGCACTGGATGGCTTGGCCAGTAACTTTTTCCTCCCATTTATTTAGAATGCCAGTATTGGTATTTATTTGCAGCAGTTCTCTGTGTTGGAGCTCATTGACTGGGGATGTTAAAGCAATTAGTCAGTCAGTCAATATTTAGTGCCTATGATTTGCCTGGGTGGTGCAAACAGTTAATGTGCTCAATGCTAACCTAAGGGTTAGAGGTTTGAGTTCACCCAGAGTCACCTCAGAAGAACGGCCAGGTACTGATAATGAAAGGCAATAATAATGAAAACCAAAAAAAAAAAAAAAATGAGGTATTCGACTTAGGTCAGAGCCAACTGAAGATGGAGTCATTGGAATGGAACCCTGTCGTAAGTCAGGGACTATATGTCCAAAAAACCAGCCATTGAAAACCCCGTGGAGCCCAGTTCTACTCTGACACACATAAACCAAAAACCAAACTCGTTGCCATCAAGTCGATTCTGACTCATAGAGACCCTCTAGGACACAGTAGAACTGCCTCATAGGGTTTCCAAGGCTGTAATCCTTACAAATGCAGACTGCCACATCTTTCTCCCGCTGAGGGGTTGGTGGGCTCACACCACCAACCTTTTGTTTAACAGCTGAGCACTTAACCACTGTGCCACCAGGGCTCCTCCTGACACACATGGGGTCGCTGTAAATTGGAACTGGCTTGAAGGCATCTGGTAGGATGTGTCCAACGCCGTTGAAATATTATGGGTGTTTATGAGTTGAAATTCAAATACAGCCAAAGAATAACATATGGTAAAAGGCAGGTGGGATGAGGTGCAGATAAATGTGCTTTTTATTGCAGAAACTGATCGTGACAGGAGAAACCAGTTTTACACTAGCATGCCAAAAGCTCAGTTTTAGTGACTTCAAGAGAGTTTAAAATGGCTTTTTGAAGTATATTTTCTTTTTCACTTGAATTTTATCACTCTCATGTTAGTCAGCAATAGTATAACTTATTGAACTTAGTAAATATGCTAAATTTACTTGGATCAAATATCCTACATTACAGGGAAATTTTAATTACTTTAGGAATGGAAAAATTGGAAAAGAGAAAAAATAAGTATAATTTGAGTTAAATACAGGCAGTCGCCAGATTACAAACGAGTTCCATTCCTAAATCTGTCTTTAAGATGAATTTGTACAGCTCATGTCTAATGTCAGTTAGTCAAATGTTTGTCTTAGTATATAGTATATAGTGTACCTTTCTATGCATAAAAAGCATTAAAGAAACACATCCAGATACACCAAAATATCTTTTAACATAATAATACAGTAGTAATAATAATAATAATGTTTTGATACACATCTCAAAGTAGTGCCTATTTGTTATGTACCTCAAATTTTTAATATTATAGGCTTTACGGGTGTTGGTTTGTAACTACAGGTCGTATGTAAGTTGTACATACATTCATAACCTGGGAACGACCTGTACATCAGAAATGCTAGTTAAAGTCTAGGCAGAAATATGAGTTAAATATTAAAAATTTAAGTAATTTATTAGTTAAACTTGAATTTTTAGAGTTTCAACACAATTGGGTTATCAGCAGTTTATGGTTGGTCAAATGTCTCTGCTTTGTTGAAACTATCCAGATGGGCAGATGGCTATGAGGCATCAAAGTAACCACATATGTTTCCAGGCAGTATCTGCCATTGTAGTGCTTTTGTGTTTCTCATGCTTTTTTCAGAAAATGGTTTTACCGGAGAGTCTTAACATCGCTCTGAAAGGAGACTCTTGCATTTTTGTGCACAGAGAAGTGAAGTGGTCAGGTTGCATTTGGCCTAAAGATGCACTCTGTACCTGGTTTGTTGTCATGATTTTGGCTAAGCGTGGTGAGCACTCAGCTATGGGCCAGCACTGTTCTCAGTACCTTATAAATGCTCGTTCACGTAAGCCTCCGCACAGCCTCTGAGGGATGTGCTATAAATATCCCCATATTCCAGATAGAAGTAGTTCATTTTTGCAAATTATGTTTCTGTTGAATGTCTGGAAACACAAGCCAACAGTGAAACTGGGCAAAATCACTCTGTCCAGAGCAATTTCAGAAGCCAGCACATCTCCCACCCCAGAGCAGACTACATCTAGACCATCAGAGAAGGCTTTCTGAAGCTTTCTGCTATCTGCCTATGTACTGGCTCAGATATTTGATCACTCTTTGTACAAAATCATTCATAACTAAGCCTCTGTTCTCCTTGCTGGCAATTCAAGCCCATTTCCTTGGCTCTGCTGGTTACAGAAATGGAAGGCCGATGGTTATTTCTTTCTGATGGGAAATTGTTGTTAGATATCATTGAGTTGGCTCTGACTCATGGCAGCCTCATGGACAATAACAGTACAAAATGTTGCCGAGTCTGGCACCGTCTTCACAGTTGTTGGTATGTTTGAGTCCAGTGTTGCAGCCACTGCATCAGTTGATCTCATTAAGGATTCCTCTCACCCTCGCTGGCCCTCCACTTTACCAAACATCATGTTTGATAGGAAACTGCCGTCCTGTAATATTATCCATTTCTCTTACATTTTGGGTAATAAAACCACCTACTCTTTGTTGTTAATAGAGTTTACTAGTAAAAGTTTTCTTCCATTCTGGAGATGTTCAGTACTCAAACGTCAGAGGTCTCCATACTCTGTATCTAAATATAGCATGTATCCCCATCACCAAAATGATGCCATGAGGGAGAATGCCTATTGCAACTCATTCTAGGGAATAATGCCAAAGAAGTTATTGGAACAGCTTTGTTCTTAACATGCCCTTGCTGAATTTGGTTTCCTCATACCCAAGTCTTCTGAATGGTTACACTGATTGTTTTTCCCATTTCCAGGGAGCTGTGATTCACAAGTTGTGCATCACCTTGGTGTCTCTCCTTTTGTTTCTGACGCTCACGAAGACCTTCCCTGTTACCTGCCTTGTTGACGACTGGTTTGTCCATAAAGCAAACTTTCTGACCCGACTCTGCTACCTATACATTGTCATGCAAGCCTCAAAGCCCAAGTATTACTTTGCGTGGACATTAGGTAAGTTTGATGAGGTGGCCCTAAATAAATTAAAGGAAAAATGATACTCCTTGTATGGCTTAGTCGGAACATCTTCAATCACTTAATCACCTAAGGAAATCCAATACAAAATCAGTTGAGCTCAGTCTCATTTCTTACTTTCCAATGCAGCACTTTTCTCTCTCACCATCTATGAACTCAGTTTTCCGTGGTATGGATATGAGCAATCCTGGCCATTGTCTAAACCCAATGTTTTTAACAGATGTCTAAACTTGGAAACTTCTGCTTCCACCAATCAAACTTGGCCATTTAGTGCAGTGGAAAGTTAGGGAAAAATTCCAGAATGATCTAGGTTTCTTGTCACTTTTCTGTACATAATACAGGATACACACTGAATTAATTTTATGAACACATATACTAATTTAGGTTACACTTCAAGAAACTGATTTTAGAAAGAAGCTGATTTTAAGTGATTTTATTTTTTTAAGGTGGAAGTTCAACTTCATTTGGTTATTGTCTCAATTTTTATTTTCTTATGGGGTAACTTGGTCAGTATTAAGCTTTTATCTTTTCTCTTTCAAATAATTTTTGGCTGGAGAAGTTTAAAGCTTTACTTAACAAGAATGATAAAGGATTTTGGTAAGGCGCAGTGGGTGCATCTGTTTCGCATTTGGAACACTTTCAGAAATGAGAGTTTAATGTCTTAGCTGAAATGAACTGGTGCTTTCTGTCAAAGAGTAGTGGCTTGGTTTATTAAGCCAAATAGATTTAAATTTGGTTCCTGGTATTTAGCCCATATCCCACTAATGAGGGCATAGCACTTGATTGAATTCTTCTCTTAGTTCATGCTCCAAGTTTAAGGCCCAAATTAAAGTTTGCAGCTACCAAATTATTTTTTAAGGACCAAAATATTTATGGACACCTGTAGTCCAATGCACTATTTTTGTACCACTTTGTCACTTGTCTGGCTTAAGAGCTTTTCTAAAATTTGCAGTGTGGGAAATGTTGCTTCTGGTCACATTCAGTTCAATTTAAGGAGTTTTTGTTGAATACCAGGGTCTGTGCTGTTTAGAAGTCAAAGATAACTAAAACATCATCTCTATCCTCAAGAATGTTACACTCTATGGGAACGCAGACATGTACATCAACCAAGGCAATGGTCAGGAAGAGCCATCTTAGTGGCAGGAAGACCGAGGAAATGATGAAGGTGGATTGGTCATTGGAGAAGACTTCAAAAATCTCCTTTTATCTTACTCCTTTTTCTGAAGTTGCTTTAGTATTTAAAAATGATTATTTCTTTAGTAGGTGGGAAATATACCTATGGTGGTAGGAGCCCTACTTGGAACACTGGGCATATTTTTCCCTGTGAAATAGTTAACATGTTTGCTTTGCTCTAACATGAGTGTATGTTTGTGTCATGTGTCTTTGTTGTGTGTCTGTGTGTTTGTGTGTTTATGAGAAGGAGAGATAGAAAATCTCACTCCCTTTTACTACTTTCTACTTCTTCACTTACCCTCCTTTTCTCTTCCCCTCTCCCTACCCTTCCTGCCCCCATATTCTGTATCGCAGGGCTTAAGGACTGACTTCTGGACTAAATCAGCTCCTGGTTTCAGGAGGAAAGAAAGGCCATTCCATGGCCACATAGGGAAAGTCTGACACGAGGTGGGTTGTGCTGGCGGGATCTGGGTGGGGAGAGGGTTGCAGTTTGATCCCATATAGATGGATCTTAAAAGAGCATAATGCTCAAGGCAGACATATAAACTATTGTTTGGTTTTAAGAAGACTTCGGGGATATTTTTGGCTTAAGGTTTAAAGATTATTTTAGGGCAATAGTTTCATTTTATCTTTTTCTTTCAAACGGGGTGCTTGGAATCATTCTGCCATTTTGAGAGTATCTCAGATAGTTGGAATATGGAAGTTGGAATATGGGATATGGAACTAACCCTTTCGGTGGCTTGCTTTCTCTGTGGATTTAGCTCTGTTTTCTTTTCTTTTTTTCCCCTTTATCCTTTTTTTGGTCACTTCAATAGAAATACTTTGTTAATTTGTATGGCCTCAATTTGAAGTTTGTTATAGTTCAGATTGCATGAGTTGGTCTGAAATTAACCTTTGTATTATTTATGAATAAAGACATAATGAGTAGTATAGCAGGGACTCTTTATTTAAACTGCTTAACTAAATAATTGTTTTATCCAGCTCTTTAAAACACCATTTACATATAATTGATGTACTAATTATACATGATTATAAATTTAATCCTTAAAGCAGACCTTGTGATGAATCTCAGCTGAGCTGCACTCTGTTAGCCTACTTCTAGTTACTGTTTATATTGAAATAGTAAAACTATTTTATTTGGACTTAGTATACAATTCTGGTTGTTTTCCCCCTCCTAATTAGTACTAGGAGCCCTGGTGGCACAATGGTTAATAGTTTGACTGTTAACCAGAAGGTTGACAGTTCAAATCCACCAGCTGCTCCTTGGAAACCCTATAGGGCAGTTCTACTCTGTCCAGTAGGGTCGCTATGAGTCGGAAACTGTTCAACAGCATTAGTCATCATCATCAATTCGTACTAATTGGCGTCACTGGGTGATGCAGACGGTTAAGTGCTTAGCTACTAACTGAAAGGTTGGCAGTTCGAATCCACCCAGAGACACCTCAGAAGAAAGGCCTGGTGATCTACTTATGAAAGATCAGCCATTGAAAACCCTATGGAGAACCCCCAAAACTATTGCCCTAAGATAATCTTTAAACCTTAAACCAAAAATGTCCTCTGAAGTCTTCTTAAAACCAAGCAATAGTTTAGCTTAACTAGTAAAGAATGTCTGCCTTGAGCATTATGCTCTTTTAACATCTATCTATATGGGATCAAATTCACAAAAGCAACTCGAAAGGTTAGATAGGAAGCTTAGGGGGCAGCGAGTTTATATTAATCAGAGAGGAACAGTTCAGAAGAGGAGAGTGAGAATCGTTGCTCAACTCAAAGAATGTAATCATTGCCACTGAATTATACATGTAGAAACTTGGATTGGTTTTTTCTGTGTATATTCTCAACAACAACAAAAATATTCAAAAATAAAGAAAACCCCATGGAGGACAGTTCTACTCTGACACACATGGGCTCAACATGAGTCATAGTCTACTTAATGGGAACCTGGTTAATTAGTACTAATTAGTGAGAATCAACCTTAGCCAGTGTTGATTCTTAGGTTTACAGACTCCAAAATAGGGGTTTCCGAACTGATTTATCTGTACAAATAATAGACTAGAACCATGCACAATACAAGTAAAGTCAATTTTGGACTAATAAACTTAGAACCTCTAAATGCATGAGGCAAAAGCAAGCTTGGTTAAAGAACCACAGAATGCACTAAGGGGAACAATGAATTCTGACATCTAAATGCAGAACTTCTGAGAGTGCAGAATCTCCTTGTCAGTCCATCACCATTTCTCTTTCAAAGTGACTGTTAGCTGCCCAAGTTGTGTAGTCAGAGCTCTGGTATTCGTATTCTGGCTCTGTTTACCACTCGTGTGATTAATGTTAACATTTCTAAGCCTCAGTCCCCTTAACAGCAAAATAGGGGTAATGATAATAATAGCTTACATTTCTTTGATGTTGACTTGGGCCAGGTACTGCGTTATGTACTTGGTTGTTGTTGTTAGCTGCCATCGAATTGGCCCCTGAATCATGGCGACCTCATGCGCAATGGAACGAAATGCTGCCTGATCCTATGCCATCCCCATGATCGGTTACAGATTGGACCACTGTGATCCACAGGGTTTTTGTTGGCTGGTTTTTGGATGTAGATTGCCAGACCTTTCTTTCTAGTCCTTTTTTAGTTTGGAAGCTCTACCAAAACATGTTCAACATCATAGCAACACACAAGCCTCCACTGATAGATGGGTGGTGGCCATGCATGAGTTCCTATGCACATCACATATAATTTTGTTGAATCTTTTCAACAGCCCTTTTATAATAGGTACCATTATTATTTCCATTTTATACTCAAGGGAACAGATTTCTAGAGGTTAAACAACTCTTCCCAAGGCCATACAGGTAGTCGCCAGCTTATGACCAGGTTCAGTTCTAACGACTCCAGCGTTTAAGTCGGTTCTGACATAAGTCAAATGCCTAAATTTTTTTCTTTTTTTAATTTTCATTATTATTGCCTTTTGTTAGTAGTATTTTTATAAATCCTATCTTTATTTGTCTTTGGGGCTTGGAAACATTACATATAAACTTACAGAAATGATGACATCAGCAAATTACGATCTGCAACATTGTATATAGTACATATTACTAACGATAAGATGTACCAAAAAAAAAAGGACAGTTGTAAGTGCAGTTTGTCATAACTCGAATACGTCAAAAGTTGGGGACTACCTGTAGTATGTTGCTGGATGGAGATAGGAACCCAGGAGCTCTACCTTCTAGAGCCCACTCTTACCGTCTTAGCATTAAGCATGTGAGGATTAAATGATGAATGCCTGTAAAGTACTTCATAGAATCCTGGAAAGATAACACCAAGGAGGAAAAGAAGATAGAGATTATTATTCTTTTTGTTTAGACCTAGCGAGGTGTGTTATATATGATACTGATACTGGAGATGGAAGGAATTTAGGAATTGCTATGTTGGTCATAAAACAAAATCACCATTTCCATGGAGTCAGTTCTGACTCATGGCGACCCCATATGTCTCAGAGTAGAACTGTGCTCTATAGACTTTTCGGTGGTTGATTTTTTTGGAAGTAGATTGTTAGGCCTTTCTTCTGAGATACCTTTGGGTGGACTCGAACCACAAACCTTCAGTTAGCAGCCAGATGTGAGTCACAGCCATGATCAAGTCCAGCCTTGGTTTTGGTTGTAAACAGACACCTCAAATGCTGTGCTTCTCCTAGTTTAGTTTGTCTTCTGTCACTCACAAATTTGTTCCCACACATTTAAAACCATTCGTTTCTTACTGGCACACCTTTTTGTTTTTCTTTTTCTTAACTGAGTTTCTATCCAGTTAGCTTGTGAGATTCACACAGCAAGATTCTGTATTTTTCACTCTCTCTTCTAAAAGAAACCACATCATTTTACAACAAAGCCAAACATAAGATACCAAAAAACAAACCAAACCTGTTGCCATGGAGTCGATTCCAACTCACAGTGACCGTATAGGACAGAGTAGAACTACCCCATAGGGTTCCCAGGGCTGTAATTTTTACAGAAGCACACTGCCATATCTTTCTCCTGTGGAGCAGCTGGTGGGTTCAAACCGCCGACCTTTCGGTTAGCAGCCAAGTGCTTAACCACTGCATCACCAGGGCTCCTTCCAACGTAAGATACCCATTGCTGTCAAGTAGATTCCGACTCATAGCGACCCTACAGGACAGAGTAGAACTGCCCCATGGGGTTTCCAAGCAGTGGCTGGTGGATTCGAACTGTCGACTTTTTGGTTAGCAGCCTGAACTCTTAACGACTCCATCACCAGGGCCCCAACATAAGATAAGCACTGTTAAATTACCAACTACGCCAAAAATAAATTAGACGAATATAGAATAGGTAGTTTTTCTTTAGAGTATGCCTTCAGAAGCCCATCTTGAGTTGACTTCAACTCCCGTAAAACAGAATTAATAGAGCCCTGGTGGCATAATGGTTAAGCACTCAGCTGCTAACCAAAAGGTCGGCGATTCAAACGCACCCAGGGGCTTATCAGGAGAAAGACCTGGCAATCTGCTCCCATAAAGATTGCAGCCGAGGAAACCCTATGGGGCAGTTCTACTCTGTCCTGTAGGGTTGCTATGAGTCGGAATTGACTAGACATCACATAACAACAACAAATGGGAAAGAAAGATTTTGCTAAGATTTCCTCCAGATCTAGGATTTTACAGTGCTGTGATTTAATTAGGAGCTCTGGTGGCACAGTAGTCAAAGCTGCTAACGGAAAGGTTGGCAGTTTGAACCCACCAGCCCTACTTCTCAAAGCCCCACCTCCCTGGAAGCCCTATCTAGGTGGCAGAGTTTATGGCCATCTGCCTATCTGACTGGATGGTGGCAGCTGACCCTACCTCCACAGCATCATTTGGGACTAGATACCATGAGAGAAAGGACAATCTCAGTTGTAATTCCAGTCGTCATTTGATGATATCCAATTTTTACAGAAAAGAAAGAATGTTCCCTCTGGTCAACACCTCATTTATTAATTCCACAGACATATAATGAGGTATCTACTGTGTAGTCTGAGCTCAGCTGCTAACCAAAAGGTTGGCAGTTCGAATCCATCAGCTGCTCCTTGGAAACCCTTTGGGGCAGTTCTACTCTGTTCTATAGGGTCACTATGAGTCAGAATCCACTTGACAGCAATTGATTTGGTTTTGGTTTGGTGATTTAATTAATTCTGATTTACTTTTAAAGAGAATATTCTAACAGAATTAACTTGAAATAAGGTAAATGAAAAGAGGAAGTTTATCTCTTGGTCATCATAATAAAAGTGTTGTGTTCATCAGGTCTATATTTGATTATAAAAACATTGCATTAAGGAATTGATTAGAAATAAGACATTCACTCTAGGGGGACATTCTCTTAATGTTCAATGAAGTGAAATAACAGAGGAGTTTTTAGGTTGACTTTATGGGGAGAATCGCTTAAGCAGGTGTTTTTAGTAGTTGGTGATTTTTGGTGACCATGTCCACGTGTGGTCTCTATTGCTGGTGGCCCCAAATTCACATCTTTAACTTGGTTCTAAACTTTTCTAACTGCATCTGGCAGCTCCAGCTGATACCCGGCTGGCACATTGTGCTTAACGTGTCCGTAATGACCTCAAATTTGTCCTCCAGACCCAGTTCTCCTCCTGACTTAAACACTGTGTTGGTTAATGTATTTCCAGTCTCAGGGACAGCTCTTGGATTTCTGCTGAATCCCCTGTTACTTCTTGTCTCTCCTTCTGAGCTCAGGTGTGTATTTACTTCCTTCCCTTTCTCTGCTCATATCAAGTTGGTTACTAAAATCCTGTTATTCATATCTTCTCTTTGATTCTTCGTTTCTCTTTTGCTCTTGTTTTTTGGTATCCAGGAGCATCTAGCTCCTTCCCTCTTACCCAGTAAATGCTAGTGAATAAATGAGTAAAAATCAGGGTCATCAAACAGCCGAATATGTTTCTTATTTTTCATAATGATACCAGATCCTTGAAATGTTCTTTTTTGTTATTGTTGTTTCTTTTTTAAGGAAACTACTCTTTAAGAAAGCTTTTTTTAAGGAAACTGTCTCTTGATCTTGAAGTTAGACAGATATTTAGCATTTTAAAACGACAATATGATTTTTGATTCATATCCTAACGTCGTGTTTTAAAAACTATAGCTGATGCAGTGAATAATGCAGCTGGCTTTGGGTTCAGCGGAGTGGATAAGAATGGAAATTTCTGTTGGGATCTACTTTCTAACCTAAACATCTGGAAGATTGAGGTGAGTGTATTATGCTTTTGGAACAAGCTTCCATAGTGAATAAAGCAAATGGTATTGCTGGAAGTTCTTCATCCGAGGGTCCGAGAAAAGCTGCTGGCAGGGAAATGCCAGGTCTACCAGCCTCCTGAACATTTTGCATCTCAATTTTTTTTCCCCACTTATTTTTTTAAGATACTTACTTTCTTGACAGTTTTAATGGTTCAAGGAAGAATGACACACAAAATCTGAAAAAGAACCAGGAAAATCTTTGTGTTGTTTACGTTTCTATTCTTGCCACTAAAAAATACAGATGTCATTTTCTCTTGCTCACATTCTACTTTCTTCAGTCAAAAGCACAAAACTAGAACCTCCTCTATTTAGAATTCAGTATCATAAACGTTCTCTGTGGTTCCTTTGGAAACATTTGTAGCATAAACTTTTAAGAGGAGAATTGTCATGCATGCAGCTTTAGGCCACTAGAATAGTTTTTGTCTTTCTATTTAGAATGGTTTTTCTCTTTCCCTGTCTTCATTCTGGACCACAGTTCTCTGTATGTCCTCATCATCAGAGGTGATCTCTTTGGCATTCCTTGATTCTTGGTTTTCTTGGCATTGTTGGCACTCAGAGCTGATGGGAATGCCAAGTCTTGGACCCTTCCCTCCTTGCAGCTGGATGGGAGTAAGGGCATGGTTCTCAAAGTACTGAAGCATTGCTTCTCTAGCCAGGTGACTCATATTTGCTGTTGCTTTTGGTTTTTCACTCACCACAGAGGACTGGCAGGCAGTGTGCCATTGGAGAGTTTGGGTAGAGGGGGTTGTGCATGTACAGGAAGAAGCCAGGGATATGGAGACTGACCACATGCTGCCCACACTGGGTGGAAAATAGGCCAGAAGGAGACATGGGGGAAGCCCTCCACCTTCTTGCTATCTGAGGCTTTTTGCATTTGGATGACCCCCAGAGGGAAAGTGATCAGCGTGTCACCTAACAAAATATGATGGAATTTGCAGGGAAGGTTATATTTTCACTTCTTTTTTTTTAGCTTTCAAGCTATTGCTACTTCAAAAGACAAACAAGCAGAAAGAAATGGAAGCACTTATACATGTTAACCTGATTAAATTATGACATTTGTTCAACCTAAACTCATGGTTCTATTTAGTTACTCAGGTTAATTAGACTCAACAAATCCTGAGCGCTCACTATGGGCATAGCACTCGTTTTTATATAGTTCTAGAGGATCCAAAGGCCCATGTGGGCGGCCTTAGCAGGTATGCTAAGAACACAGTTAAGGTCCAGACTCAGTTCTGAATGAACAAATAATGCTTTGTTGCCTTCACAATGCACCACATTTTAAAGGGACAGGTTTCAGCCTTCAGATTTTTGGATAAGCAATGTAGATCATCTGCAAGCTTCTCTTTTCTGTATAGAGAATGTCAGAGAGAGTTTGAATATGTTACAACTTTTTTCTCTTTTCCCACTAAAATTCTTCTCTCCCTCAAAACATGTGGACCACTGCCAGCCACCTTGGAGTGCTGGGGACAGATGTCCTTTGAAGTGGCTTCCCTGGCCTTTGGCTGCCCATTAATCCTTTCACTATAGGCATTTGTTCAGTATAAAGGGTTAAGTTATTAAATAATGCATTTATTATAAAAGAAGGTCAGAAGGAGAAGGTTTGTTTTTAGTGTATTTGATACAGGATATGGGACTAAAGAATACCAAGGAAGCCTGCTTTAGCTGAGGTAGCTTGAGGCTATACTTACATTTTATTAACCGTAGATTAAATGGATAAAGAACACTCCTTAGGGTTTTAAAATCAAAACTCATGATACGAAATCTGTCTGTCCATCCATCCGTCCCTCCCTCCCTCCATCCCTCCCTCATTCACTCCCTCCCTCCTTCCTTCCCTCCTTCCCTGGGTGGTGTAAGCAGTTAACACACTAGACTGCTAACCAAAAGATTGGAGGTTTGAGTCCACCAGAGGTGTCTCAGAAGAAAGATCTGGTGATCTACTCCAAAAAAAAATCAGCTGTTGAAAACCCTGTGGAGCACAATTGTACTCTGACACACATGGGGCCACTATGAGTCAATCGACTCAATAGCAACTGATTTTGGTTTATCTATCATCTCCTTTCTTTCTTTTTGAATATTTTATTGTGTTTTAGGTGAAAGTTTATACAGTAAATTAGTTTCCCATTCAACAATTCATACACAGATTGTTCCATGACATTGGCTGCTATCCTGCAATGTGTCAGCACTTCCCCCATTTCTACCCTGCCTTCCCCATTTCCATCTGCCCAGTTTCCCTGCTTCTCCTTGCCTTCTAATCTTTGCTTTTAGGCAAATGTTTTCCATTTGGGCTGATATAGTTGATTGTTCTAAGAAGCACATTTCTCATAGGTATTATCGTTTATTTTATAGGTCAATCTGTTGTTTGGCTGAAAGGTGACCTCCGGGAGTGGCTTGAGTTATAGGTTAAAAGGGTGTCTTAAGGGTAGTAGCCTCAGGGGTTCCTCCAATTTCTTATCATTCCAGTTACTTTGGTCTTTTTCAATGAATTTGAGTTTTGTTTTACATTCTTATCCCATTCTAACCTGGACTTTCTATTCTGGCCCTGGTCAGAGCAGTTGGTAGTGGTAGCCAGGCACCATCTAGTTCTTCTGGTCTCAGGCTAGAGGAGGAGGTGTTCGCTGTGGGTCATTAGTAGTACTATGGACTCATTGTTTCCTTGAGTCTTTGGTTTCCTTAACTCTCCCTTACTCCAGACAGGAGGAGACCAATAGTTGTATCTTAGATGGCCACTTGAAAGCTTTTAGAACTCCAGATGCCTACTCAGCAAACTAGGATGTAGAATATTTGAACTATATTATGCCAGTTGACCTAGATGGCCCCCTGAGACTATGGTCCTGAGCATTCAAACCTAGTAACTTAGTCTCAGAAGGAGTTTGGATATGTCTAAGAAGTTTCCATAACTGTGCCCTCTATGCGCTTTATTATATATTGTTGTTGTTAGGTGCCGTTGAGTCTTTTCTGACTCATAGCGACCCTGTGTACAACAGAAAGAAACACTGCTCAGTCGGTCCTATGCCATGCCCACAAATCGTTGTTATGCTTGAACCCTTTGTTGCAGCCACTGTGTCAGTCCATCTTGTTGAGGGTCTTCCTCTTTTTCATTGACCTATACTTTACTAAGCATGATGTCCTTCTCCAGGGACTGATCCTTCCTGACAGCATGTCCAAAGTATGTAAGATGTAGTCTTGCCATCCTTGCTTCCAAGCCAGCACTCTGGCTGTATTTCTTCCAAGACAGATTTGTTCGTTTTTTTGGCTGTCCATGGTATATTCAGTATTCTTTGCCAACACCACAATTCAAAGGCGTCAATTCTTATTCAGTCTTCTCTTATTCATTGTCCAGCTTTTACATGCATATGATGCAACTGAAAATACCATGGCTTGGGCCAGGCTCACCTTAGTCTTCAAGGTGACATCTTTGCTTTTCAACACTTTAAAGAGGTCTTTTGCAGCAGATTTGCCCAATTCAGTGTGTCTTTTGATTTCTTGACTGCTGCTGCCATGCGTGTTGATTGTGGATCCAAGTAAAATGAAATTCTTGACAGCTTTGATCTTTTCTCCATTTATGATGATGTTGCTTATTGGTCCAGTTGTGAGAATCTTTTTTTTTTTTATATTGAGGTATAATCCATACTGAGGGATGTGGTCTTTATCTTCATCAGTAAGTGCTTCAAGTTCTCTTCACTTTCAGCAAGCAGGTTTGTGTCATCTGCATAATGCAGGTTGTTAATGAGTCTTCCTCCAGTCCTAATGTCCTGTTCTTCTTCATACAGTCCAGCTTCTCAGATTATTTGCTCAGCATACAGATTGAATAGGTATGGTGAAAGGATACAACCCTGACGCACACCTTTCCTGACTTTAAACCACATACTATCCCCTTGTTCTGTCCGAGTATCTGCCTCTTGATCTATGTACAGGTTCCTCATGAGCAGAATTAAGTTTTCTGGAATTCCCATTCTTTGCAATGTTATCCATAATTTGTTATGATCCCCACAGTCGAATGCCTTTGCATAGTCAATAAAACACAGGTAAACATCTTTCTGATATTCTCTGCTTTCAGCCAAGATCTATCTGACATCAGCAATGATATTTCTGTTCCATGTCCTCTTCTGAATCTGGCCTGAATTTCTGGCAGTTCCCTGTCGATACACTGCTGCAGCTACTTTTGAATGATCTTCAGCAAAATTGTAGTTGTGTGTGATATTAATGATATTGTTTGATAGTTTATGCATTTGGTTGGATCACCTTTGTTCGGAATAGGCATAAATATAGATCTCTTCCTGCCGGTTGGTCAGGTAGCTGTCTTCCAAATTTCTTGGGATAGATGAGTGAGCCCTTCCAGGACTGCATCCGTTTGTTGAAAGATCTCAATTGATATTCCATCAGTTCCTGGATCCAGTGCCTTCAGTGTGGCTTGGACTTTTTCCTTCAGTACCATTGGTTCCTGATCATATGCTACCCCTTGAAATGGTTGAAGGTCAACCAATTCTTTTAGGTATAATGACTCTGTGTATTCCTTCCATCTGCTTTTGATGCTTCCTGCGTCATTTAATATTTTCTCCATAGACTCCTTCCCTATTGCAGCTTGAGGCTTGAATTTTTTCTTCAGTTCTTTCAGCTTGAGAAATGCTGAATGTGTTCTTCCCTTTTGATTTTCTGTTTCCAGCTCTTTGCGCGTGTCATTATAATACTTTACTTTGTCTTTTCGAGCCACCCTTTGAAATCTTCTGTTCAGTTGTTTTACTTCATCATTTCTTCCTTTTGCTTTAGCTACTTCATTTTGGTCTTTTCTTTCTTTCCTGTCTTTTTAATGACCTCTTGCTTTCTTCATGGATGATGTCCTTGATGTCATTCCACAACTTGTCTGGGCTTCGGTCATTAGTGTTCAATGCATCAAATCTGTTCTTGAGATGGTCTCTAAATTCAGGTGGCATATACTCAATGTCTTACTTCGGCTGTCATGGACTTTTTCTAATTTTCTTCAGTTTCAGCTTGAAGTTGCATATGAGCAATTGGTGGTCAGTTCTGCAGTCAGCCCCTGGCCTTATTCTAACTGATGATATAGAGCTTTTCCATCGTTCTTTCCACAGATGTAGTCAGTTTGATTCCTGTGTATTCCATCTGGCGAGGTCCCTGTGTATTGGCGCCATTTATGTTAGTGAGAAAAGGTATTTGCAATGAAGAAGTCGTTGGTCTTGCAAAATTCTGTCATGCGATCTCCAGCATCATTTCTGTCACCAAGGCCATATTTTCCAACTACCAGTCCTTCTTCTTTGTTTCCAACTTTTGCGTTCCAATCATCAGTAATTATCGGTGTATCCTGATTGCATGTTCATTCAATTTCAGACTGCAGAAGCTGGTAAAAATCTTCAGTTTCTTCATCTTTGGCCTTAGTGGTTGGTGCGTAAATTTGAATAATAGTCATATTAACTGGTCTTCCTTGTAGGGGTATGGATATTATCCTATCACTGACAGCATTGTACTTCAAGATAGATCTTGAAATGTCCTTTTGAGGATGATTGCATCATTGCTCTTCAGGTTGTCATTCCTAGCATAGTACACCATATGATTGTCCAATTCAAAACGGCCAATACCAGCCCATTTCAGCTCACTAATGCCTAGCATATCAATGTTTATGCGTTCCATTTCATTTTTGATGATTTCCAATTTTCCTAGACTTATATATATATATATACACATATATAAAAATATACACACATATATATGAATATATTTGTAACACATACAAGTATGTATATACAAATGCCTACAACTATACCTATTCATGCACACACTTGTACTCCCATATGCCCTACCACAGCTATATAGCATGCATATCTACCTGTGTAACCATTCACAAAGTTTTGGTTGTTATTACTGATGTTACAGAACATAATGTGTTACAGCATTTACTGTAGTTGTCCTTTATTCTTGCATACCACTCAGTGTCTTCATTTACCTTGGCACGGTGTACTGACTTCCCCCATATTGTGTATTACCTTTCCCTTTGCCAGAATTAACACATGTCTACTATTTAGTAAATGATTCTCCCTCCCTCCCCCTCCTATCCCTGGTAACCATCAAAGAACATTGCTTTCTGTGTATATACCTATTCTTGTTTTTTTATAAAACTGGTATCATATAATATTTGTCCTTTTGTGATTGACTTATTTCACTCTGCATAATGCCCTCCAGATTCATCCATATTTATAAGATGTTTTGTGGACTCATCATTATTCTTTATTGTTGCATAGTATTCACTTGTATGTACGTACCACATTTTGTTTATCCATTCATCCATTGATGGACACTAAGGTTGTTTCCATCTTTTTGCTAGTATGAATAATGGTGCAATGAACGTGGATGTGCATATGTCTATTCATGTCACTGCTTTTATTTCTTTAGGATATATACCCAGGAGTGGGATTGTTGGATCACATGATATTTCTATTTCTAGATTCTTGAGGAAGCAGCATACAGTTTTCCATTGTGGTTGTACCATTTTAAAGTCCCACCAGCAGTGTATAAGGGTTCCAGTCTCCCCACAACCTGCCCAGCATTTGTTGTTTTCTGTTTTTTTTTGATCAGTGCCATTACTGCTGGGGTGAGATGGTATCTCACTGTAGTTTTGATTTACATCTCTCTAATGGCTAATGATCGCGAGCATCTCTTCATGTGTTTGTTAGCCACCTGAATGTCTTCTTTGGTCAAGTGTCTGCTCATGTCCTTTGCCCATATTTTGATTGGATTATTTGTCTTTTTGTTGCTGAAGTTTTCTATAAATTTTTGAGATTAGTTCCTTGTTAGATATGTCATTGTCAATTTTTTTTTCCCAGTCTGTAGGTTCCCTTTTTATTCTTTTTTGGAAAGTCTTTTGATGCGCTAAGTGTGTAATCTTTAGGAGGTCCCAGTTAACTAGTTTGTCTTCTGTTTGTGCATTTTTAGTTATGTTTGATAGTGTATTTATGCCATAAATTAGGACCCTTAGCTTTGTTCCTGTGTTATCTTCCAGGAACTTCATAGTTTTAGGTTTAACATTTAGATCTTTGGTCCATTTTAATTTAGTTTTTGTGGATGGTGTGAGGTATGGATCCTGTTTTGTTTTTCTGCAGATGGCTATCCAGTTCTACCAGCACCATTTGTTAAAGAAACTATCTCTTCCCCATTGAATGGACTTTAGCCCTTTGTCAAAGATTAGCTGTTCGTAGCTGGATGGATTTATTTCTGGGTTCTTAATTCTGTTCCATTGGTTTATGTGTCCGTCATTGTACCAGTATGACACTGTTTTGATTATTGTGACTGTATAGAAAGTTCTGAGATCAGGAAGTGTGAGGCCCCCTACTTTCTTCTTCTTCAGTAATGCTTTAGCTATTTATGGCCTCTTTCCTTTCCATATAACGTTGGAGAGTAGTTGTTCCATTTCGTTAAAGAATGTTATTGGGATTTGGATTGGGAGTTGCATTGTATCTAATAATTACTCTGGGTAGTATTGACATTTTCCAATCTATGAACATGGAATGTTTTTCCATTTATGTAGGTCCCTTGGTTTCTTGCAGTAGTGTTTTGTAGTTTTCCTTGTGTAAGTCTTTTACATCCCAGTTTAGATTTATTCCTAGGTATTTTATTCTTTTGGGGGCTATTGTAAATGATCTTGCTTTCTTGATTTCCTTTTTTTGGATTCTCCTTGTTAGTGTAGAGGAATCTAACTGATTTTTGTATGTTGATCTTGTACCCTGCCACTTTGCTGAACCCTTCTATTAGTTCCAGTAACTTTCTTGTGGAATCTCTTGAGATTTTCTAGTATAGGATCATGTCATCTTCGATTAGGGATAGTTTTACTTCTTCCTTACCAATTTGGGTGCCCTTGATTTTACTTCCTTGCATTATTGCTCTGGCTAGGACAGTGTTGAATAAGAGTGGTGATAATGGACATGCTTGTTTCATTCTTATTCTCGAGGGGAATGCTTTCAGTCTCTCTTCTTTGAGAATGATGTTGGCTATGGTTTTATATATATGTCCTAAATTATGTTGAGGAATTTCCCTTCTATTCCTATTTTGCTGACTTTTTTTTTTTTTTTTTAAACCAGGAAAGGGTTCTTCTCCTTCCTTTCTTTCCTTCCTTGTTTCCTAACATATTACATTAGGCCAGTGTGTGACCTATATAAGATTTTCTCATGGTTGAAGAGATGTCAACAGAAAAAAGCAGCACTTGCATTTGTATTTTCCATCCTCACTGAGTATTCTGATCCTTGAATGTTTGCTGGTTTTTTTTGGATAAGAAAACCCAGTTAATGATTTATTTTAGTGTCCTTTTCCTCAGTGGTTGATGTACCTGCATCATTGCCAGCTGGGTGATTTTTACTTGTTTTCTTTTCTGCATTATGGCCCCTTCATCCTTAAAATCTCTTAATATTCCAGACACAATTGAATTCCTTTGAACCTGTGTCACTATTTGTAGAGTTAACTCCACAAGACTGACCTAGTTTGTAGATGGCCACGTTGTAAAATGATGGCAACTAGATTCAAGCTGTCTCCATAAAGTCACTGAATTCTCATGATTAAACTTTTCCTGTGGTAAATCCCCTTTTAGAGTATTCATTTCAAATTTCAAATAACTTTCAGATTTTTCTTATAACCCAAGTGGAAGGAAACCCCATAAAACATTCCTTCAGTGTGCCTATAATTTGGAAATAAATTTTGGGAAAAATTGAGACTCTGCAAGCTAAACTTTAGCTGCGAAGTCAATCTTATAAACACCAGAAAATTGTCCTGTGTACAACGGAACAGCTGATCCTGTCTGGACTGTAAGTTGTTACTGTTTAAAGACCACATGTCATCTGCTGCCAGGGAAATTCTGGGAAGGACTATCCATTACGTGGGGTGTTTTTACAGCTAATGATAGGTGCCGTTTTCTTCTTCCTAGACTGCCACAAATTTCAAAATGTACGTAGAAAACTGGAATATTCAGACAGCTACTTGGCTAAAGTGGTAAGAAAAATAAAGATGACCTCATTACTCAGGATGCTGGACTATGTTTAGATAGGGCTCATTAGATGCCCAGCTATCGTCTGTCAGTAGTAATGTCATCTGATACTTTTGTTTTGTATTAACATCCAGACCCTGTAAATGGAAAAGTAGAAATAGTGTAATTTGAGAATGTCACCATGCAGCATACTTATTTTAATTTTTGATACACTTACTACTGCCCTTTATGTGTACCAGGCCCTTATTCGATCCTCATATGAACCCTATGAGATGTTGATAGTTAATTATCCCCATGTTACAGATGAAGGAAGTGAGACACAGGTTGTGTAACTTACCCACAGTCACACAGCTAGTGAGTGATAGATATGAGTCCAAGCAGTCTGTCTCCTGAGCCAGGCTCTTTATCTCTGTGCTGAGCTGCCTGTTACCTAGAGAAGCATCTGTTGCTGAGATGTCAAGGAGGGTCAGTATCAGCATCAAATATCTGATGATCGCTGTGTTCAAATAGCATTAAAAGCTTTATGGTACCCCCGATTATTATGCTTTTTAACTTTGTATTTTTTTTTTTTTGATATTCCTTTGTCCTTTTGTTTTCCTACACGTTCCAAAATGAGAAACATTTCTTATTATGGAAATAATAATATACTATCCTTAAAGCAGAAAGTCCCTGGGTGGCGAAAGTGATTTGCAATTAACTGCTAACCTAAAGGTTGGAAGTGTAAACCCACCCAACTGCACCACGGAAGAAAGGCCTGGTGATCTGCTTCCATAAATATTACAGTCAAGAAAACCCTGTGGAGCAGTTCTACTGTGTAACACATGGGATCATCGTGAGTTGGAATCAACTCAGCACCAAGGAATTTGGTTTGTTGTTTTTTTATCCTTAAAGTGGAGTCCCTGGATAGAAAGTAACCATTCAAATCTTTATCAGGTACAGTATGATAGAGTCAAGATCATTTAGTTCTATGCTGGTTACAAATTCGTATTCATCTCCCAAAAAGTCTGAATTGTAGCTTTCCTCTCTGGTAGTAGTCAAGAAAATCAGAACAGGTCAGGATGCTTGGAGTACATTGCAAGTCCCTGAATTAGGGTTAGGCAGGCCTCCCAGCAGTAATGGATCAAACAGTTTCTCTGTAGTCTGGTTCGGAGAAAAGCAGGTATAGCTAAAAGTTTCTAGTATGTTTTACCTGTGGCTCATTGTATTTCCTCTCTTCACAGTGTGTGCTATGAGCGGGCTCCCTGGTATCCCACCGTGCTAACCTTCATCCTGTCTGCCTTGTGGCATGGTGTCTACCCTGGATACTATTTTACGTTCTTAACTGGAATCCTTGTCACACTAGCAGCCAGAGCGGTAAGCTTCCTTTTTTTGTAGGGTCTTTTCCTTAGTAATCTGATGCCTCATAAGTTTGTTGCCTTTTTGGTCCTAGCAGGAGCAGTGAAAGTGATGTTTTGAAAAATCAAACAACAACAGACACAAGTCTTCCCATTAGAGAAATACTTCAAACTGTAGGAACTTGGGGTCATTAAAAAAAATGGTTAACCACTTTATTTTAATACTGTTTATGGAGGGTATGTCAAAACAAAAGGAAGTTTGGTTGCAATGTTTAGTACCTAACGAGATAAAGAGATTTTGAATCCTTACAGGCTGTGAACATACACAGTCTACTAATTAGAGATGACAATGATTGTTAATTAATGTAGGCTCTGTAGGGCTTCAATTTGTTTATACAATGAATCGTCCACTTATTTTTTCATTTCGTTATCCTAAACTGAGAAATAATTCAAAAAGTCCCTGAGCAGCCAGTAAAATCGCAGACACAGAAACTGTATTCTATTGGAGGTTGATGTAACCTCTCATGTTGTCATCCCTGGTCCAGTTAACTTAAACTCATTGCCCTCCAGTTGATTCCAACTCATAGCGACCCTATAGGACAGAGTAGAACTGCCATATAGGGTTTCCAAGGTGCAGCTGGTAGATTTGAACTGCCGACCTTTTCGTTAGCAGCCAAGCTCTTAACTACTGTGCCACCATGGCTCCCCAGTTAATTTAGTTTGTGTAAAATTCTTCGTCAGTTTTATAAATTTGGTTATCTGTGTTTTGGGGTAGTCTTCAGTTTGTCCTTCACTGTTCTACTATTTGCTGATTATACAGCAGAGCTGGATAACAAAGGAATAAAAAAATATGTCTGTCCTTATGGAAGGAGTTAGAACATGTATATGAACCCAAACCCATTGCCTCTGAGTTGATTCTGACTCATAGCGATCCTCTAGGACAGAGTAGAACTGCCTCATAGTTTCCAAGACTGTAATTTTTAAGGAAGCAGACTGCCAGATTGTTCCCCTGTGGGCTATCTGGTGGGTTCGAACTGCTGGCTTTTCGGTTAGCAGCTGAATGCTTAAACACTGTGCCACCAGGGCTCCTTAACATGAATGTAAGTAATTGCAATTCAAAGTGCTTTAGTTGTCAAATAGAGAGTTAGAGTTCTCTGAGTTAGAAGCAGGAGAAACTGTAAGCAGCTAGTCTGTGGTAATCAGGAAAATTCAGAAGAGTTTAAACAGAGGGAGTGGCATGAAGGCAGTGTGGAGGCAGAAAATGATAAGAGCTGTTTGGAGAATGGCAAGTAATTCAGCTTGGTTGTATTTGGAAAGGCCCCTGCATGCCAGGAGTCAAGGTAAACCGAAAAAAAAAAAAAAAAAAAACAAACCTGTTGCCTCAATTCTGACTCATATCAACCCTATGGGAAAGAGTAGAACTGCCCCATAGGGTTTCTAAGGCTGTAATCTTTACGGAAGCAGACTGCCACATCTTTCTCCTACAGAACGGCTGTGGGTTCAAACCACTAACTTTTTGGTTAGCAGCCGAGTGCTGTAACTGCTGTACCACCAGGGTTTCTTGGAGTCAAAATAATAGGGGGGCAATTTAGTGTTTTTGAGCAAGGAGAATTGCCATGAGAGTGGGGCCTGAAAAAATTCTTTTGATGGACATTGATTAGAGCAGAAAGAAGGAGGTTGTAGATCCACACGGGAAGGAGGTAGCATGTGCTAGAAGCAAACCATAGTCGACAGTCGGAGAGGAGATCTTTTAAATGATCAACCAGAAAAGCACAGATATTCAAGTCTGTTGTAGGGCAAATACAGTGCTGTGTACTTCCCTGCCGGAAGTATTGTGATACAGCATAGCATAGTTACACAGTGTTGATGTTGTTGTCAGGGGTCCTCAAGTCGATTCCGACTTTTAGCAACCCCATGTGACAGAGTAGAACTGCCCCATAGGGTTTTCTAGGCTGTAATCTTTACAGGAGCAGATTGCCAGGTCTTTCTCCCATGGAGCCACTGAGTGAGTTTGAACAGCCTAAAATTTGGTTAGCAGCTGAGCTCTTAACTGTTACACCACCAGGACTCCTTCACTTATACAATAGTACAATGTTATTTTTATAAAGATGAGTCTGTTATCACCCAGAAAAAGCTGTTTGATATTTTCTGTTTGAAAGGGCAGGTAAATGTGTAATATGTCTTAGAATTGTTTTCATCATCAGAAATGGTCAGAATTTAAAATACATGTATCTATTTAATCTTCAGTTTTCTGGAAAATTCACTTATATAGAACATCTCCTGAGAATGATTCATAGGATGTTTAACCAAGAAGCCACACAGATCATACCACTCACAGGGCCAAAGTGTCTTAGGCTCCTGGAAGTTTACTTAATAAAATCTCATATCTGATGCCCAACGTTATCTGAGTTTCCCTTGATGGATGAACCTGTGGACTCTGTCCTGAGGAGCTCAGGGCTGAGGAGAAGAGTTCTTCTCTTGCCTATAAGCCAGCCATTTTTTTCAACTCTGCCTTTTTCAGCTCTGGAAGTTAAGTGTCCTTCTGGAAGGCAATGGAGTCACTCACGTGTGTCAAAAGACCTACAAATGAACATATCCTTTGACCTAGCCTTTGCAATTTCAAATAATTGTGTCTTTACCTAAGTTTCTTTATCTCTAAAATGGGTATAGGAGCCCTGGTGGCACAAAGGTTAAGCACTTGGCTGCTAAACAAAAGGTTGACAGTTTGAACCCACCTAACAGCTCCTCGGGAGAAAGATGTGCCGATGTGCTCCTATAAAGATTACAGCCTAGGAAACCCTATAGGGAAGTTCCACTCTGTCACACAGAGTCGCTATGAGTCATATCAGCTTAATGGCATTTAACAACAACAATAACAAAATAGGGATAATAATGCTTTCACGATAGGATTGTTGGGAGAATCAAAGAGATGATACTCATGTAAAGCATTAGCACAGGATTGGCACTCGGTAAGCACTTAATAAATAGTTGCTTTTATTAGTAGTAATAGAAATATGATTTATATTACTATTATCTGAAGGAAATAATTAGAGAACCATGCAAAGATTTATCTACAAGTATATTTATCACAGAATTATTTATAATAGCAAAACGGGGGGAAGGGAAAGTGGGGGTAGGAAGACAAGCTAAAGTGTCCACAATTAACTTAAAATTATATTGGTGATTAATATTTACTGACATGGAAAAAAGTTTATGATATATTTCTAAATGAAAAAATAAGCTAGAAAATATATTGATACCATTAAAAAATATAAATGCGGATATATATGAATAGAAAAAGGCTGGGAAGGATATGTGCCATGTTTTTCAAGAGTGTGAAAATGGTGTGGCAGAGGCATCTGACATCTGCCCTCCTGTAACTTCACGAGGTGGAGAGAGAATCACCATCAGCATTTGCCCAAGGCAGATTCCTATGAAGCGAAGGTTAGACATATCTCCTCTCTCCAGACTTTTTACTGATTCTGACACCAGCCGACCCTCCCACAGCACTCTGTACTTCTCTGCTGGGTTTGATACCTCATTGCAGTGGCCACACAGAGCTCACAAACAATATTCATGATTATGGGGTTTATTAGGGAAGTAACAGGTTACAATTCAGGACCAGGAATGACACAGGATACAGTTCTTCGGTCAGGACAGCTTCTCAGCTGGACCTATAGGCAGGCCTCTCCCTGGCCCTCGGCCTCTCGGGCCTCTCGGGCCTCTTGGGCCAGCCCAGCCTTTCCACTGCTCAGGCAAGTGTTACCAAGCTTTTCAGCTCCACCGATAAGTGCCCAGAGGCACCCACTCTGCCAGTAAGCCTTCTGCCCGAAGGCACTCGGCTCTCTAGCTCCATGAGTTGGTAAGCGTAGCTCTGTTGACAAGTGTCCATAGACACCTGACTTTGCTAGCAAGCCTTCTGCCTGAAGGCACTCAGGTCTCTTGCTCCACGGTCTGGGAAACCCATTGTGCCATCTCCTGCTGGTCTCCTGGTTCTGATGCCACGGTATTGCTGCCACAGCTTCTCACCATCTGTCTCTGCCTTCGATGTTAAAGCTCTCTCTCTCTCTCTCTATTTCCTGGGTCTAGGAGGTTCTCAGCTTAGGGATCCTGGGTCCAAAGGATGTGCTGTACTTCTAGCTCTTCTTTCTTGGTGGTAGTGAAATTCTTCCTCCCCCTGCTCTGGGATTGGCTCTCTTTTTTAAGCCTAGTGGGATGGCAAAATTGACCATTCCCCTTGTTAGGGTTCCATACATCTCATTTGTATGGTCCCACCCCCCCAGGGGTTCCATGCACCTTATTTGCATTCTTAGCAGGCTGTCCAGTCAGTCCCCTTGGTGGGCCACATATGCCGAATTTGCATAGTTCCACCCAGTCATTTTGGGGGAGTCGCAAAGACTGTCGTCACAAAGAAGGGCCATGTTAAGTAATTCACTGCACAGCAAAGTGGTTCTCTCTGGGAGATACGAGAAAAGGAAAACAAAATCATTTTTGCTTGGTTGTTCTGTTAACAGTTTTCTACAGTGAACCTGTATTTTTTTTTTTTATATAATAAGAAAAACCAGAGTGATATTTCTAGTTGAAATAGAATCGAGATGGTCTGTTTTCTGCAGCCTGTGTCCCTGTGGTATACTGCCTCCAGACGCTGAGGAAAGGTTGATTTTGTGTTTTACCCCCTTGTTGCTTGTCTTGGCTTGCAGGTGAGGAACAACTACAGACAGTACTTCCTTTCTTCAAAAGCTCTCAAGGTTGTTTATGACGTAGTCACCTGGGCTGTCACTCAGCTGGCTGTCTCTTACACGGCTGCACCCTTTGTGATGCTGGCAGTCGAACCAACCATCAGTTTGTACAAGTAAGTTACCATTTTTCTCAGTTGTCGTCTCATGAACTTATCTGTTTTACTAATTGGTAAATGGAATTAGCCAGTACTAAGAATTTCTAAATGTGGTTTCAGTGTGAAAAATGCCCAGAGAAAGCCTTAAGAGGAAATGGCTGTCCTGAGGATACCAACTGTCTTAGTTACCTAGTGCTGCTGCAATAGAAATACCACAAGTGGGTGGCTTTAAAGAACAGAAATTGATTTTCTCGTAGTGCTGGATGCTGAAAGTCCAAATCAGGGTCTCATCCATGTTGATTCTTTTTGTGGTCCTCTTTCCTAGTTTCTGGTGTCTGTTGGCAGTCCTTGACATTCCTTTGCTTGTTCATGCGTCCTCATGTGGCATCTATCTTTCTTCCTGTGTGTGTGTGTGTGTGTGTGTGTGTGTGTGTGTGTCTGAGTCTCGTCTGCTTTTTTTATATGATACCCTTCAGAAGTGATTAGGATCCACCCTGCTCTGGTATGACCCAAGTAACATCTTAACAAAAGAAAACCCCTATTCCCAAACAGGTACAGGGGTTAGGACTTCAGCATAACGTTTTGGGGGATACAATTCAGTTCGTAACACCAACATAGAAATGCTAATACACATGAGCAAATTTTATAGGAATCTGTTAAGCTATTTATAATATAATTAAAGGGTGCTCATGGCAGTGAATTTTGAAGAGATGTGTCTTGGTCACCTAGTGCTGCTGTAACAGAGGTACAACAAGTGGGTGGCTTTAAAGAACAGATTTTTTTTCTCACAGTTTAGGAGGCTACAAGTATGAATTCAGGGCACCAGCTCCAGGGGAAGGCTTTCTCTCTGTTAGCTCTAGGGGAAGATCTTTGTCTCTTTCCTTCTGTAGCCCTGATGCTCCTTGATGGTCTTCAGATGGCATCTGTCTTCCCCTGTTTGTGCTTGCTTGTCTCTGTGTCAGCGCTGTTCTTTATATCACCAAGAAGTGATTAGGTTTAGGACACACCCTACATGGCTATGGCCTTATTAACATAACAATGTATTTCTAAATTGCATCCACAAGTAGAGGGTCAGGACTCCAATACATATATTTGGGGAACACAATTCAATCTATAACAGGATGTATCTGGATTAAAAACTCAGAGGGGGAATTTGCTGCTCTTGGCTCTTTTTCCCAGAGGTTAAGATCTGTTGAAAGAGACCTGGTGGCACAGTGGTTACGCACTCAGCTGCTAACCAAAAGGTCAGTGGTTCGAACTCACCAGCCACTTCTGGAGGAAAGGCCTGGCCATCTGCTCCCATAAAGATTTCAGCCCAGGAAACCCTATGGGGCAGTTCTCCTCTAACAAATAGGGTCGCTATGAGTCAGAATCAACAGGATGGCACAAAACAACAGATCTATTGGGAACTATGGGATATCCCAGGAGTGCTGGGACTTGCCAGCTGCTGGGATTGGCCAGCTCTGGTGGTCGTTACATGAGCTCTGTGCTCTTCACTGAGATGGAGATTCTGATGGGGTGCATGTAGGGGATTTACGTTGGGAGTTCCATATACTGGATTTAGGGTGAAGGAAGAGGTTCACACCAGAGACCAGAGGTCTTTAGGGAAAGGGCTTAGGGCCCTTATATTCACATTCCAGTGCTCCAGCTGAAGGACAAATGTATTCTTGCTTTCTTGTCTTATTTCACTTTTAGGTTTAATTAGTTGTATTTCTCCACTCTTGTGAAGTGGGTGAGAACATAGGCTCATGAACTGGTTATGTGACCTCTAGCAAGTTATTAACCTCGTTTACCTGTGTTTTCTCAACTGTAAAATGAGGCTAAGAATAGAAACCACCTCAAGAACTGAGTAAGGAAAAGAAGCAGAGGGCTCAGCGCATAGCCTCCACAATAAATGCTAACTTACACAGTGAAAGTTGTGAGAGCCAGAACTCGACAGGACTGCCTTGTTTTTCCAGGTCTTGAAAGTTTCTCGCCTTTTACAGGTTGCAGTCTTATCACGTTTCTGTCACTTGGTTTAGTGGAAAATGTTTGAGTTTTCCTTCTCTGACAGGTTTCTGCCTTATACAGGTTCCAGCTTTCACAGGCTTTACTGTATTATTTCATGGGTTGTATGGGCTTGTGTAGGTTAACATTGAAACATACTGATGGTAAAAATACTGACTTAGAAATAAGCAAAACATGCATTATTTGTAAGTTAGGGTATAGTTAATGGACTGTAGTCCTCTATAGTTAATGAATCAGGAATGAATCAAAGAGAGACTTTTACTACTCAGTACGTATCTCAGTGTCTATATGTGGTGGTGTTGTTGTTAGGTGCCATTGAGTCAGTTCAGACTCATGGTGACCCTAGGTACAACAAAATGAAACACTGCCCAATCCTGCACTACCTCCACAATCACTGATATTTCTGAGCCCGTTGTTGCAGCCACTATGTCAGTCCATCTCCTCGAAGGTCTTCCTCTTTTTTGCTGACCCTCTGCTTTACCAAACATGATGTCCTTTTCCAGGGACTGGTTCCTCCATATAATATGTCCAGAGTACGTGAGACAAAGTACCATCCTTGCTTCTAAGGAGCATTCTTACTGTACTTCTTCTAAGACAGATTTGTTTGTTCTTCTAGCAGTCCATGGTATATTCAGTATTCTTCACCAAAACCATAATTCAAAGGCCTCAGTTCTTTTTGGTCTTCCTTATTCATTGTCCAGCTTTCACATGCATATGAGCCAATTGAAAATACCGTGGCTTGGGTCAGGTGCACCTTAGTCCTCAAAGTGACACCTTTGCATTTTAACACTTTAAAGAGCAGCAGACTTGCCCAATGCAATACGTTGTTTGATTTCTTGACTGTTGCATCCATGGGCATTGATTGTGGATCCAAGTAAAATGCAGTCCTTGACAACTTCAGTCTTTTTCCATTTATCATGATGTTGCTTATTGGTCCAGTTGTGAGGATTTTTGTTTTCTTTCTGTTGAGGTGTAATCTGCACTGAAGGCTGTAGTCTTTGATCTTCATCAGTAAGTGCTTCAAGTCCTCTTCGCTTTCAGCAAGCAAGGTTGTGTCTCTGCATATCGAAGGTTACTAATGACTTTTCCTCCAGTCCCGATGTCACATTCTTCTTCATGTAGTACAGCTTCTCAGATTGTTTGCTCAGCATACAAATTGAGTAAGTATGGTGAAAGGTATAACCCTGATGCCACATCTTTCCTAACTTTAAACTGTGCAGTATCCCCTTGTTCTGTTCGAACAACTGCCTCTGGGTCTATGTACAGGTTCCTCATGAGCACAATTAAATGTTCTGGAATTCCCATTCTAGAATTCCCATTCTTCTCTTTGTTATCCACAGTTTGTTATGATCCACACAGTTCAATACCTTTGCATAGTCAATAAAACACAGGTAAACATCTTTCTGGTATTCTTGTTTTCAGCCAAGATCCATCTGACATCAGCAGTGATGTCGCTTGTTCCATGTCTTCTTCTGAATCTGGCTTGAATTTCTGGCAGTTCCCTGTCAATGTACTGCTGCAACTATTTTTGAATTATTTTCGGCAAAATTTTGCTTGCGTATGATATTAATGATATTGTTCAATAATTTCCACATTTTGTTGGATCACCTTTCTTTGGAATGGGCACAAATATGGATCTCTTCAAGTCGACTGGCCAGGTAGCTATCTTTCGAATTTCTGTCGTAGACAAATGAGCACTTCCAGCACTGCATCTGTTTGTTGAAACATCTCAGTTGATATTCTGTCAATTCCTGGAGCTTTGTTTTTCACCAGTGCCTTCAGTGCAGCTTGGACTTCTTCCTTCAGTACCATCAGTTCTTGATCATATACTTCCTCCCGAAATGGTGGAACATCGACCAATTCTTTTTGGTATGGTGCCTTGTATTCCTTCCATCTTCCTTTGATGCTTCCTGCATAGTTCAGTATTTTGCCCGTAGAATCCCTCAATATTGAAACTTGCAGCTTGAAATTTTTCTTGAGTTCTTTCAGCTTGAGGAATGCCAAGCATGTTCTTCTCTTTTGGTTTTCTAACTCCAGGTCTTTGCACATTTCATTATAATACTTTGTCTTCTCAAGCTGCCCTTTGAAATCTTCTGTTCAGCCCTTTTACTTTATCATTTCTTCCTTTAGCTTTAGCTACTCTATGTTCAAGAGCATGTTTCAGTTTCTTTTCACATCCATCCTGGTCTTTTCTTTCTTTCTTTTCTTTTTAATAACCTTTTGCATTCTTTATGTATGATGTTGTTGATGTCATCCCACAACTCGTCTGGTTGTTTGGTCATTAGTGTTCAATTAGTCAAATCTATTCTTGAGATGGTCTCTAAATTCGGGTGGGATATACTCAAGATCATACTTTGGCTCTCATAGACTTGTTTTAATTTTTTCAGCTTCAACTTAAGCTTGCATATGAGCAATTAATGGTCTGTTCTGCAGTCAGCCCCTGGCCTTATTCTGCCTGATGATATTAAGCTTCTCCATCGTCTCTTTCCACAGATGTAGTCAATTTGATTCCTGTGTATTCCATCCAGTGAGGTCCATGTGTATAGTCACCGTTTATGTTGTTTAAAAAAGGTATTTGTGATGAATAAGTGGTTGGTCTTAACAATATTCTATCTTGAGATTTCCAGGGTTGTTTTTATCATCAGGGCCATATTTCCAGTTACCAATCCTTCTTCTTAGTTTCCAACTTTCGTGTTCTAATCACCAGTAATTATCAATGCATCTTGATTCCATGTTTGATCAATTTCAGACTTCAGAAGTTGGTAAAACTTTCAGTTTCTTCATTTTTGGCATCAATGGTTAGTGAATAAATTTGAATAATAGTCATATTAACTGGTCTTCCTTATAGTCATATGGATATTATCCTATCACTGACAGCATTGTAGTTCAGGATAGATCTTGAAATATTCTTTTTGATGATGAATGTGATACCATTCCACTTCAATTTGTCATTCATGGCATAGTAGACCTATGACTGTCTGATTCAAAATGGCCAATACCAGCCCATTTCA